GAGATGGCCTTTAAAGGTCCCTTTCACCCAAACCATTCTGTGACTCCATGATAACCGGTGTGCGGAGTTCTTCTCCCTTCCCCCAAATGGCCGCAACCCCTCAGCTGCTGCTGGAGCCCCCCGGGACAGGGGCAGAGCCACTCCAAGGCACGGTGCACCCTTAAAGCCCGGGGACCTCCCTGCCACAGCCCCGGGATCCGTGTCCCGAGGGTAAAGGTGGGTGCTGCCCCTGCCATGAGAAGGGGAGAGCTCTCTGCTCCCTTGAGGATGACCCAGAGTCTGATGGCAAAACAAAGTAACACATCCAAGAACTGCATCCCCATAGCCCCTGCTCTGTTCTACACACACAACAGCAGCAGCTGGGACTTTCCCTCTGACCTCAGGCTCTCCTAGAAGTAAAACAGAGTCCCAGAATGGTTTGGGACCTTTAAAAGCCGTCTCATGCCAGGGGCAGGGGCATCTACAATTCCAGGTTGCTCCAAGCCCCATCCAAGCTGGCCTTGGAGACTTCCAGGGATCCAGGGGCAGCCATAGTTTCTCTGGGTGATTTGTGCCAGAGCCTCATGACCCTTACAGGGAAGAATTTCTTCCCAATATCCAATTTAAACCTACTCCCTATCAGTTTGAATGCTCCTTCTTTTGGGACCACAACCCTGGAATCAGCAAACAGACACAGGGCTCACACTGAGCTCCCACAGCGATCACAGAGAGATGGTATTGGGTGAAATATAAAACATGTCCTCATAAAATGTTTTTAGATTTTTTTTTTCCCTCTGAAAGCCAGGATTTGACACAGCAGGTAAGCTCACTGGCCTCTCCAATCTGTCAGAGTCTGTATTCTCCTTAAAGCAAACAAGATTTCTCCAATGAGTCCTGTCATTTGTGCACTGCTGGGCTGACAGGCTGAGAATCAAAATTGGATCAGGCATTGCCAGAGAGCAGGAAAAAATCCTTCTTTAGGATCCAAGAGATATGGCTGTTTCTTCTTCCAGTGGCTGTTCACAGCTCTGCCACCTAATTCGGTTAAATTCTAATATCTCTGACCAGTCCAGCAGCGAGTTTTACAGCTTGGCCACAAGAAGTCATTTGGCCGTGGATGGATTTAATTTCTGGTCTGTGCAATGGTAAGATTTGGGCAATAGTAAGGATGTGGTGGATAATTTGGGCAATAATAAGCAGCACATAGCTGCCATCAGAAACCCAACCAAACATGGGTTTGCTTAAACAACCATTCCCATCCTGCCATGAACAAAACCTTCAACACTCCCACCCAGGGCTGGTGCTGATATTAGCACCCTCATCATTAAAGCAAATAGGAAAAAAAAGCAGTGCAGCTGAGATGTACATTTTTCATACACTGCACTGTGATGAATTTTTGCCTTTTTAAAATAAACATCAGATGTATGTTAAACACCCTTGTAGCTGTATACATATAAAGCTGCTCAAAGCAGTATCGAAGTTTGGGTTTGCACAACTTACTAGGATGCTTTTAAGTGGTTCCATTCAAAGCTTGGAGGAAGCAACTCCACACCAACCTCCCTGCTGCAGAAAAAGGCAGTTGTTATTGCATGTACTTGCCTGGCACAGAAAATCATCCTTGGGATTTGCTGCCCCTGACAAAATTGAGTTAACTGAGCCAGTGGGAACAGCTGGGAAAGTCAGCAGAGGAGAACCCAGTGGGAAGGTCTGCAGCAGGGAGTCTCACCCTCAGGGAAGGATGACCACTTTAGGGATCATCCAACCAAACTGGACAGAACCAAGTCCCTGAGACAGCATCACAAAATTAACTAGGGGAATTTTGGTTGGAAGAGACCTCTGAGATTATCAAGTCCAGTATTGTATGACCCTAAGACCTGCTGGGACATCCCTGTGAGCACTGAGGGAACTGGAACCTCGCTGCAAAGCCCATCTCAATCACCTGGCAAAGCCTGTGGCCGTCAGGAGAGATCCTCATGACAGGAATAATCTCAGTGCCACCTGCCCCTTGAGGGAGGATCAGGGACACCACAAGGCTGGTTGGTCTCACTGGAGCTTCCCCCTCCTTTGGGCATTCTGCCACTCCAAAGCCCTGGCAGTGTCATTGCTC